GGGCAGATCTGTATACCATGGAAACGACTTGGCAGACTTCGGAACAGCCGGCCTAGTATCACGCAAACGAGGAGAGCCATGACACCTAGAAAAAAATGGGAATGATTATCGTCGAGGCGTACGCGTATATTGCGGTGGACATAGCGTCGCGGAATCGTCCCCGGCTCAGCAAGAGTCCTCGACGCCTCAATTCCTGTCCTCACCGCGGGAAGTGAACGAGTCGACGCATCCAGAGACCCAATGAGATGGAAGACGAGTCAATATCCATCGGAACTCGAGATCATTTCTCGTCGCCAGAACTGCTGTCCGTGGAAGCTGTTGATGGATTTCCCGTTCGATGGTGCTCAATGTCAGCACGCGGACTCTCCCGAAGTCCCAGGAGTTTTGCATCTGCCTTCACCTGACGGAAAGCTGAAAAGACATGAGCTACGAAACGGTGCTGAAATTAACGTTAGATGTGTCAAGATTTGACTGGAGGAATCACAATTCGTGCTCTCATATTCTCTCACTGAGGCAGGCGGACAGCTGCCCCGCCATGTTGGTGATTTCGGACGGGCGGCGGTCCGAATCGACTCCTTCCCTCGAGCCGCGCCGGATGTTCACTGCCGTCTCGACCATATCCCACTCATTTCGATCTCCTCGTCGACGATCGACAACCGAAAAAAGCCTGAGCACCGATTTCCTTTCTCGCCACTCACCAGTGTCAGGCAAGCTCAATTAAGGAGGAGCGAGGATTCACATCAGAGCTTCGAAAATCTTCGAAGACGAATGAATTCCCAACGCCCCGACTGCCGGTGAGGATCACGAGCATGGAGTCTGTCCGAAGTATGTTGTCTCATAAAAATCTAATCCCAGGCTAGCCTTGCGAAAACGGAGGAACCTGAGCAGCAGGACGGGATTCCCGATCACGTTTGTATTCACAGAGCTCTATGGAGTATGAGAACGATCGTGTCTCATGTACGGCAACTTCCTCCCCAAAAATCGAAGACACCCTCGACGATTTTGTTGTCGAATTTCACCACGACCTTTCCTTCCGCGACTCCTGAGCATTATTTTTTGAAACCGCCACTAACTCGATGGTCGGCTGTGAAGCTCGGCCCGAAAATTCTCTCGATCCGCAAATTTTCGAGGGTTTCAGACTCCATGAAGCGATGAATTTTGCCGGACTGAGTCATCCCGTCTCCAACTTCAGCTCCCCTTGCGGTGCAATTATTTCTCTCTCACGCTTGTTCGATGAGGCTGAAAATCAACTTGTTGAGCTCGATATCTCAATAAGCGGAGCGCATTACCATTTTCTTACGTCGTCGATCTCTGGCGATCGTTGCGGCGTTACCAGATGGGCGACTGAACAGGCAACCATGCGGTGCGGAGCAGGGGCGGATCCAGGAGTTCTCCAAGGGGGGGGGCGGTCAATGCAACGAGGGAGAGGCGGATCGATATCTGGGTCCTGCTATAACATGGGGAGGTATGGGAAGTCGGAAATCTCGAGGAGGAGGCGATCGCCCGACCCCCCCCCCAGCCTCCCTGGATCCGCCACTGGTGCGGAGCGTCGGCAGGCAGCCTACATCGCCAAGATCCGCCGCCTGGTCGTCACTCAAGGAGACAGCTGCGAAATCTTAAAATACCCCGGCACGCGGACGGCCCCGGCTGAACGAGAGATCACTCCTTCGTCGAAGGGGTCGTCGAAGCCGCGGGCTGCGAGAAATTTCATCCAGTCTAGGTGAGTGAATTGAGGGCTCGGACTGGTGTAAGTCAAGCCGCTGGGAGTATCATTGCCGCGCATTCGTTGCCACGGTGCTCCTACGGGGATAGGGCGACCCCCGCGTTGCGATTGGAGCTCGGCCGCGACGTCGGCGTCCGTCCCAAATTCAAGTTCCTCGAAAATTGGTACTCACATCTCCACTCGAATCGTCCAAAGGTCAAGAGGATCAGATGCGGAATCTCGTGGACTTCCGAAAGCTCTCGACGTGGCTCGAAGTTTTCCCGTGATTGCTTCCGCCGAATCTGAATGGAGAAGTCGAAGTCAAAATGGGGAAAATATGGGAAATGCGGAGAGCTCAGCCCCTGCCGTGCTCGACGCGGTATGTACATACCTATAAGAAGCTCACGTCCAGTCTCATGGATCATGTCCCCTCTCCTGCAGCGGTCTTCTACAATGACCTCATACTCTTAGATTATCACTTATCACACTTATAACAATTGACAATATGTTCAGAGTTCCTCCCGGAGCTATTCACCGCGAAGAGCCTTCGCTTCGAGCTTTTTCTCTATACCCTAAAGCGGGACGCCCACCTTTCTCTGGGACTCCAGCTCTAAAGGCTGTTCCGGGCTGCGTCATTGTCTACTAGGTACAGAAATGCTCTTCCTTTTTCTTAGTAACACCATTTATTTGCAATGGGGGAATGGGATCGGGGCGAAAGCTCCAGATACTTTAGGCGGGAATTTCCGTCTAAATTATATAGAGTGAAACCTTGTAGAAGGACATTCCGGATAATGAACTTCTCCTCTCGAGGAACTCGCCTCGGATGATGGAGCTTATTTCGCTCAACGAACGAGTATCGTGTACTCTATAGGAACACTTCTCTGTCAAGAGGCAGGATTCGAACCTTCGATGCCATTTCATGACGCCCCATATAAGAGTCAAGGACTTTGCACTTGAAAGTCCACAGCGGGACCGTACCATCGAGTCAGGAAAAAAACGGTTCCAGTCAAGGAACGTCTCGCTCAACGAACGGCTCTCCGGAACGGATCGAGCGCCCAAGCGAGATTTCACTGTATCCCCACGGTGATTCTCCTGAACCGCGGCTTTGAATTCACTGTCATGGGAAACACCTGCGAGGAACGAAAACGAGAATGAGACGACTCTCGCCTACCCGACTGAACACAACTCGCACCCGAAGCGCGTGATGCTCCGATTCCTCTCAATGATTGTCGTGGGTTCCTTGGAGGAGCTATATCGAGTCTATATTGAAACACACATCCGAATAATGCGGAGGGAAATGTTCCTCATCCAAAAGACTGAAGAGATCCCCTCGTGTCCGGGAAACGGGAGAGTTGCTTGAGGAGAGGGGGATGAGCGCACATTCAAGGTCGCTTCGCAGCGTGTCGCCAGAGGAAGCCAACGGTCGTGATGAATCGCATCCAATCGGACGAACTCCTCGAGAGTCGTCTTCAATCTCCTAATGCTTGGCGCAACTCGGGTTACGGAAATTCCCCGTGGAGGCTCCTCCCGAGCTCTCTCCCTTCTTCTTTCGACGAATTTTTCCAGCTCGTGGTGTAGCGGAATTCTTCTTCCTCCAGCGCTTCTTTCGCAAGTATCCATCTGATTCGCTCGGGAGCGACGTGGTACAGCCGTTTTCAACGTAATCGTCAAAGGAACATTACGCTCCGCGAATGCTCAAGCGACTGTCGGACTCCAGGGCGGATAGAGAGCGCTCCACACATGACGATCAGATCCCTATCGACCTCTGACCATACGAAGATGTCTCGAGGGAGAAGTCGTCGATTCCTTATTCACACACCGGTCGCCTCTCACGGAAGCTCTGCGGGCACCTCATGGGAATTTCTCGGAAGCCGTTCGGACACCAGCGGTGGTTTCTCCAACGGAAACCCGAGGGTGCCCATTTCCTTTAGACGATGTGCGCCGGGTCGGGAGCCTCCTCGCCGAAGTGACCAGGCCTGGCGCTCAGACCCCGGGCGACAAGCCTATGAGTGGCGCCGAAACATACAGCCAATAGCGCCATTCTCTTCCCCTTATTCGGTGAGAAGGCCCTTCGAAATCTCGGGTTCTGTCGAGGATTCACCGCAAGCCGCCAAGGATGGATAAATAGACTGCAAGGCACTTGACAAGCTTTCCGGTACCGTGATCGCCGGAGCGACCGGATAGTTCCCCTTCTGGGATAAGCAACGGATTCCGGGCTTCAGAGAGGCTGAATGTCAGCTTGGCAAGTCGGATGAGGTGACATCATCGTGAGACTTGAGCAATCGGTACATGAGTAGCACCGAGCCTCTGCTCGTTGAGAGATTTCGTTCGTATCACCCCGGTGTGATCACCGGTGACCGGACGCCACGGAGGCCACAGGACTGACAAGCAGAGAGCTCCAGCGTTGGCGACGCGATTCCTCAATATTTTTTTGAAGGCATGATCAGAAGGGGCTGTTCCAAATACCGTTTTAGTTTGATAAATGCTTCGAGTTCCATCCGCCGGTCGTAATGCGTGAGCCCGGGAGAGTCGGACGAGCTCTCGCATCATCGCAGATCTTTAAGAAGAAGTTCGCTCGAGAACTTCTCATGCTACATACCTCATCGGTAAATACTCATAAGTGAGCGGACGAGCAAGCCTTCGATTATCTCCGCACAGGAGGCCAGGAAGCGCTTTTGGATTCCGACGAAAGCTCTCCGATACCTATCCCCTGAAACGAAATGCAGTGATGAATACGTTGGTCCCGAATTTCCCGAGGCGGACGTCGCTGTCGTCGGACTTTTGAATGGATCGGAATTATTCCACCTTCTCGTATTCACACATAATCCCTTCTCATCAAGGAAGACCAGATCCTGCTTAGCGCTGGCAGCCCTGTTCGAGCCTGTGATCTTCCGAGCAATGGGACATGACGTGAGCATCGGTAAGCCATCCTGCATCCGATGCACCGACCGCGCCGACTAACCTGCTACTGCCTAGATACGAGTCTCAAGATAAGCATGACGCACGGATCGGCAATTACTACCTTAGAACCTCCACTGCCTCTGATTGGAAATCTCACTCTCTGACATGATGGCATACGATAAGATGCGGAGGAAATTCCCCTAGGAAAGCCGAGAGTGTCCCGCGATTTTCCCCCCGGGGACATGCGAGACTTTCGATTGAAGGCTCGATTCGGAATTTGTGTGGGCCTCCGACTGCAACCGGATGCACGAGCTCCGCTCGAAAGTCACGCTACGTGGACTCGAGGCGAGAGCTTTCGGAGATGGATTCCAATCGGGCCGTTGAGTGGAGACCGAAAATGTCGTTCCTCTCGGCGCCCGTCATATTTGCCGCCCTGTATGGCTCATCCGATTGTGAGAATCCCATGCACTACACGAGTAAGCAACGACTTATCATGCCCTATGATCGCCTCGACGTCTGCACCTTCAGCTCTTGCCTGACTTCTATGTTTTCGACAACTCGATCTCTAATTCCCCGAATTCTGATTCTTCTCGCAGAGCCTCTACCCGTGGATGTGTCGATCTTTGTCATAACTCTCGGTGAACCGGATCTTCTTCAAATGGTGAGTTCCCGGGGACGAGGATCGGCAATCATTTTGGCATTGCTCCCCCTCAGAGAATGAATTCTTGATGGAGACGAATGCCATCTTCGAATAAAGTTCCTCTGCAGGAATTCACCCTCGACCTCATCGCGCTCTCAAGTTGGAGCGCTGACATAAGAGTCTGTGAAGATGTTAACAAGACTTCTCGTATCCACGACAACGTCGGCAACATTTTGGGCTACTACGAAGATTTGTGGCTCCCAGGCTTGACTTTCCGTCAGGCCGCATCCACACGTATGCCATCGAAAACCAACCCGCCCTTCGGCGTGGAGCTCCAAGTCTTGCCTGAGGAAGACGTCTGTCGATTCACCGAAAAGCGAAGGTGCCTGAGAATCTAGTATAACCTTCGCATAAGCCTCCAGGACTCTCGCAAGATCTTACGCCGTTTCTCAGGGTCTCTATCGTCGTGCGATGTGACATGGATCTGCATTGGTTCCCTCTCGACGTTCAGTATTGTCCCGTAGATTTTCACAGCTGTGAGTTACCAGTTTCCATGATTTCTCTTCATGACTCGATATCATAAAAATTCAGGGCCCGGAAATCGGCTTCCGGCTGGAGGGCCCCAGTAGGCAGTACGCAGAGGGCTCAGGCAAGGCAAACTGAGGGATGGGGCGGAATTTTTCAGTCACGTATCCGGCGCGATTACTCACTGTCGCATGGGGAACCAACCTCAACAAAAATTATCTGCCGTCAGATCGGGCTTTCCGAGTCAATCCTCACATACAGTCTTTGCAATATGACGTCGTCTACACGGCAGATCGGAACAACAACTTACCGTGGTATTGGAACTTACGTAAGATTCCGTTCCGGAGCCTTCCATCCTATGTGCTTCAATCGATTCATGGCGAACACGATTTTTGGGATCGGACGGAGAAGAGATAATATCATTATATTAGATTAGCCATGTATATTATAATATTCTCTTGCGCTATTAGGAATCATCATACGCTCATCCTCATTATAATATTATACGCGCTCCAGAATTCGAGATCACCTCATTCCTTCGACAGTTACACCGGAGGAACCGGATGACGGAGTGAGATTCACGGTGATATTCCATCGGCGTTTCACCTACCAGTTCATCACCACTTACGTCCCATGTACTGCAGTGACTATCGCAGCGCTCTCTGCGCTCTTCATTTCTGTCGAGATGACCGTGGAACGCATCAATCTCGCCGCCATTACGTTGGTTTCCCTGTACTCTCAAATAGCCCGGTACAGAGCATCTCTCCCTTCAACTCCTTTTCTCACCGTGAGTCCTTCTCAGGAGCTTTCTGAGCCCTCAATGTTTCGCCGCTTCTCTCCGGGCGATCTCAAACCTCGGCCGAATAGTTCAACTAGCCCTTCGCTGCGCCAAGAGAAATTTTCTAAGAGAGAAGGGTCCCGTGATTCAGGTCTGTGACGTCTATTTGTATGCCAGTCTGATCTCCGTCGTCTCCACAATATTGGTCTGTGCTCTGGTGAAGAGATTCCACAAGGAAGACCTCAAGCTGGAGAAGTATCTCCGTGAGAGAACCATGGCGCGAGCGAAGCACTCGGTGAGTTCAAGATTCTGCATAAGACTTGAATCCGGTCTCAGGAGAAGCAAGACTCTCCATTTCGCTGAGCGAATTTCAATTTCATTCCACCTTCGAAGCCACGAAGTTTACGGAGGAGACGAAGGAGGAACAGCTATCTGATCGAAGATCTCAGACGAACTCCATCGCTAACCGACGCTGACGTTGCGCTCGAAGGGCTCCTCAGCAGATCCAGCAGCTGTCTGAGCCTATCTCAGAACCTCCAGAGGAACGAGCGGTTTAACAAACACTGTAGAAGACTCATGATATCCCTGTACATGATATTTCTAGCCGTTTATTTCATGTATATATTCGCCTATGGACCTAAATAGGCATCGCCAAGTAGTCGTCTTGCGTCGCGGATCAGTGCGCCTCTCACGATCAAAGGCTGTGTCCTACCTGTCTCCGTGTCTCATTCCCTTGGTCTAGATTTCCTCCCAGTGCTACGGAAATATTAACGAGGCCTACAACAGAATTTCCGATAGCGCACGTCACGGTAGGGCAAGACATTGACTAGACTGCTAGTTGGCAATCCATCGGAGCGCTCTAGCACTTCCCGCTCGCTTTCTGTGGCGTTTGGATCCTCGTTACCTCGCTAGCTTCGGCATCCAGCATGGCCGAGGATTTGATAGAAATAACGAATCGGCACGCGTACTGGAGGAAGAAACTCGGATCCATGCAGGGAAAGCTCGACAAAGTCGAACAGCATCGTGATGCTTTACAAGAGGTTGGTTTGAATCCTCATTCAGTGTATTCTAAACGGTGCCCTTCCCAATGGGAGCGTCGGAGACGCTCTTCCGGATGAGCTCGACACGCAGGCCCTCGACGTCGCTCCGGGCACAACGACACGCTCCCAGCAGCGTGAGTATTGATTCGAGCTTTCATTCAATTGGAGGAAACCGAGTCCTTGAAGGGAGAGGTTAAAAGGTTGCAATCACAAATCGAAACCGACGACGCTGCCTACAAGGAAGTCACTCGATTCCGGAATCAAGAGCAACTTCTGTACTACAGAGACAAAACTCTGCTGGAAAAGAATCAAGCGGACCTATTCGGTAAGCATGAGCTCTGGATTTTCGCAATAAGTTTATGATTGGTATAATAATGGCTGAGTGAGTGCTTGACGATAAGGCTCTTACGGAACAGCTGAAACGAACCAGAGTCAGAAATTGCTCTCGGAACTTGAAGAGAGTACCAAGAAATTCCTGCACTGGAACTCCCTCCTCGAGTCGCAAGATCCCAAGGTTCGTGAAACTCACATTCGTCGGGACCCTAGTCTAATATTTCTATTGCGTTCTCGGCGGTAATTCTCAAAGCATTTTCTCGTGTAGGATACGTACATACGCCATCTCATTGAAGATTCTTCGAACTTCTACCTCCGGCGTTTCGAGGTCATATCAGAGCCTGAAGCGAACCGACGCTTGCGAGAAGTATCAGAGTCTTTGGAACAATTGAACGACCGAGTTTCGAGTCTGACTGGAGAGATCCGCGCTGCGTCGCGGAAGAAGGAGAGTCTGCAGTCGAGACTCGAGAGGCAACAGAAGAATATTCATCGGAAGACCAAGTATGTACGTTATAACGACCCCCATTACATCGAATTTCTCGGTACAACGAACAAGGAATTTCTCCTGCTTTGGCCAGCTCGCCATAGGGATAGTGTTGAGTGGCCTTCGTTACAGCGGAATTTTGGTACAACGAACCAGTTTCGTCGGTCCCTTCGTGTTCGTAGTAACGAGCTTTTACTGTACAATGCGTCTCATGGATGGATTACACGGATCGGCTGATAAAAATTGAGTTTTCCGGTTTTCCAGGCTCGAGAAGGAAGTCGACGCTCTAGAGAGACGGCTGTACACGGAGCTGCGTCGAAGCTCTTGCGGACGGAACGAGCTGGCTCGGGAGGTGAAACTCTTAGAGGTTCAATTACAAGAGATGACGACCGGAAGCGATGCCCTCGAAGAGTCGAAGAGGATGCACATCGCGGCCAAGCAGAAGACAGACGGCAATCGGAAACGGCCAAATCCTCCGGGGAAATTGGAAGAAGGCCGGGTTCAGCTCCAGGTCGGAATCGAACACTGAAGCTCACCAGAGCCGAAGGATTCACCGCTCTCCATGCAGCACACTACGTGCGTAGTCCTCTTTCGATGTCGATTCGCTTGAGCTTCCGACGACGGAGAGAAATGAAATTGAACGTAGCTCGTAGGAGAATTTATTAGAGTTTGGTAACTTGAGAATAAATTATCTCGCACTTGAATCCCGAGCGGAATCATTCCTGGCTGTCGCTGAGATCCTACAAACCACATGATTAGGTTGAAGCCACCACAGCCTGGCTCTCTTTGGCATCCAAAAACATAGGCCTCGAGCAATGTCTTGTCTCTAGCAAGATCACGATAGAGCTCCTTCCAAGTTCCAAACGGAAATCCGAGCAGGTTCCGGAGTCGCGATCGAATCGTCCTTGTGAATAAAGTAAAACGCCGGGATACACAATAACCGAGCGCAGAACGCGATACGAGTCATCACGGTCGCCGCCATGACGACATTAAACATGAATTTCCACGCGAATATTGATCTCACAATCCACAATCACACAAACGATAATGCTCGGGGGAAATTTTTCTTGCGTTCTGAAGAGTACGCATCGACATGACCATCAGTCGATGGTATCAGCGATTCCCCCCAGTGTTATGGCGAAGTGCGCTTCGGACTCCGGTAGTTCAGGTGAATCATAAATTTTCGCTATGCGAACTTCGCCTTTGCCCTTGCGGAGAGATACCCGGGTGGTCGAAGCGTGGGCCAGGACGTGACCTCCTATGGGTTTCTTCGGGTCAGCCTTCAATTATTCGGCATTTAAGAAAAAAAACTCCATTCTGAACTACAGAGGATGACCATTGATATTCCGATCTGAGCTCACCTGGAACGACATTGTGGCTCCCGGGTCCGCGGTCATCTGATTGGTTATGACGACAGCAACGTTGTACTCCTCAGAAATCTTCTGCAATCGCGACAAAAGCTGCGCCAATTTCTGTTGCCGCTCGGCGAGCTCACCGCGTCCACTGAAGTCCACTCTGGGGATGAAGCGTGAAACCCTTCCATTCTCCGCGAATCGGATCCAATAGATTCAAATCAATCGATCGCATCAATCGATTGGAAGATCCGAACCTGAAGAGTGCCATGACGCTGTCGATGATGAGAAGTCTGAAAACTCCGGATTCTTCATGGAATTTCGCTGCAGCCATGTCGAGCAAATCCATTTGCTGCTCTGAAGTGTAGGCTCTCGCGTAAAGTATGTTCTCCAACATCGCTTCGATATCCAAGTCGAATCTGTGACCGATATCGCGGAGCCTCTCGGGTCGGAACGTGTGCTCCGTGTCGATGAAGAGTGCTTTGCCGCCGGGATAGTTGTCGGTTGGTATTTGGCAGGTGACGCAGCAGGTGTGACAGATTTGAGTTTTACCTGAAATTGTGCAGTCGGAAGCCCTACTCAATTCTGTGGAGGAGGAGGGGGCAAGAAGAGGGTCTCGCACGCGTAGAAATCGATCCCGGAGCGACCGGACACCGCATTGAAGAATTCCGGAGTTCTAGAGTGCGACGGTGGACAGCCCGGACTTACCGCAGCGGAATTCCCCGAATATTTCCGTGATGGCCATGCTCTCGAACCCTCCTCCGAGGAGTCGGTCGAGTGCAGACGATCCCGATGGAATTCGGAAAACACTACGGCGCCGATCACAAAGCGCCGAGGCCGTGATGAATCCGCCGGAGCCCAACAAGGAACCGAAGAGTTTCGCGGCTGCCTGTGAAGCGCAATTCATTATAATAGGTCCGAGGACTGAGCGCGATACCCAGGCGTGTAGAGCACTGCGAGGCCTCCCCGTTGCGGGATCCCTTCAGGTACGTCATAGCCAAACAGTAAGAACCTCCTTGATTTTGTCGACTTTGGCTTCGGATAAACCCTTGATGTTTATCATTCTCTTCCGTGTGATCATTTGTATGCCGCGTATCGTGCAAATGCCGGCACTTTTGAGTTTGTTGATATCTGTGACATTGATTCCATGCTGCTGGAGTAGGTCGACATCCTGGGAAATGCACAAGAATTCGAAACAGAATTTGATCCAGATGGAGAGGGATCCCCATGAATGGCTCGAGACTCCCTTTCCAGACCATTGAGTCTGTACCCTATCTCAATAGGAGAATTTTCATTCATCCGACTTCTCTATGGCGCTAATACCTGAATGACGAAATCATCGGGGTATTCCTCTTCTTCACTTTGACTCGATAAGGGCACTTCCTGGGATGACGGCTGCGATTGAGTTTTCTTGCTCCTGGACTTGTTTGCCATCCCTGCGAGCGAGATTGAGACTTTCAACTGGCGACTCCGTCTCTGCAAGCTCTTCGGCGGAATTTCGATAGATTTGCCCCCGAACAAATTTCAGGTGCAGCTCATATTGAAGTCGAAAGGGCGGGTACGGAACCGTTATATGTTCACCATTGTGTCAGCGACACTTATCCACTCACTGTCGGCGGTCGGTATCCTTATTCGCTTGAATCCCTCCAGACGATCTGCGGAATCAAGTCAGGCATCTCCGATTTCTCGACTGCGAGTGTATTTGACTCAATCAATTGAAATGAGACCAATTAGAAGCGAGAGCGTGAAACTATTCCAAGATACGATCCTGAACTGAGCACATTTCCATCTATCCCAACAATATCACTTCCTCCACCGAAGCTCTGTTGACTCTCTTTCAAAACAAATGCACATGGGTGCATCAGCCGTCGGAGTTTCCGCTATCATATACCATGCGTCCGATTTGTTGGTCGAGTTTTCCGAGGTACACACAAGACACTGAGCCGATATCCGGCTCAATATCCTGGATCAGAAGCATAATGGTCCGCTAGTCAGAAACTGTTCCTGTTTCGAAGGAATCTGCGGACGATAAGACCAGATACTATCTTATTCGATTCTGACTGCGTTTTTGCGTAAAATACCTACGACTACACCGGATGGATTTAGATGAGAATTTACTCGGGAACACATCATCGAGTCGGTCTCTTCCGTCCATGATTCCCGCAGAGTGGGAACATCCTCTCGAAGAGTCCCTCCTGCTTTCCCCGGACGGATGGGGAAACCGATTATACCAATGGGTTTTATTGATTTCAGCCCGGGAAACCTGGGGATAATTTTGTGGCCGCAGAGCAGTTTGTGGTGAATCGATACCTTCAAGCTAGGCATGGAGCACTGCCGAGGTTCGATCAGACCGGAAATTACGTCAGATCATGAGAGTTTCCTCGATGCACCTAGCGGAATTTCGTTTCAGCCAGATCTGCCAATGCGGAATTCACGAGGGAATCGAATGAATCAGAGTGTCTATCGCTCTGGGCAAGAGAGAGATTGAGACCGCGATGACGCTCGGGAGTCCGCGATGACGCTCGGGAGTCCGCGAATGCAACCTATCTCACCTTAACGACACTCTGTCGAGCATACTGCTCGATTAGGATTTACTGTACTTGGAGCACAAGAACGTCCCTTGAAACATCCAGGTAAGCTGCTGTGGGAGTCCGGAAGTGCAGAAGGTCCCGAAAATCCGATTCTCCCTTGATCCACGTACTATCCCAGCCGTACTTCTCTTATTCTTCTGACGCGCCGGAAAAGAGTCGACACTTCCCTGAAGATCTGCTCGGGGACAGAATTTCCTGCCTGTGGTCTTTCGTGAGCAGGGGCGCATACTTTCCGCCCAGCTCCACAGGATCCCCACAGAAGCTATGGAAGTCGCATCAGAGGACGGATCACACGTGAAAAACCCATTAGAATCTCCCGCCCTCATGAGCCGCCGGAACTCACGCATTCGATTATCCGCAAGAGCCCCAATTGCAAGGCTTTCATCGATGTACCCGATCGACATACGAGACAGGAGATCAAAGAACTTGCAAGTCGGTTTCAGTTTCTTCCCGGAGCTCCGGTGAAGGTGCGCGGTCCTGAAAATTATCTCGACAAGTCCAGGAACGCTATGGAATTCCATTCTCCCGCTTACAAGTCCGCTGTCTATTGTCAGCCCTGAACTGCCGTCGGCTGGATAGGCAGCAGATGTACGACGGATGCATCTACGAAATTCTGGTACGATATGAGTTCCCTCAAGCGTTTAGCCTTCCACTCGCGTCTGAAGAGAGGGTCGCTCCGCCAAGAGCCGTCGCCGCTAAAGTGTTGTTTCAAATGCGGCGAAATATTTCCCTCCCTTGACATTGGTCGACGGCTAAGCAAGCGGAAGCCGATTGCTCCGGTTATCTGTCTCGCGCGGGCCGGCTGACTGTTTACGAAGTGAGCTAAAGCGCACCCTGGCGGCTGAGAACGTACATTTCGTCTCCGTCCGGTAGTGTGCTCGCCAAGAGTGTCAAGAGACGTAAACTTCGCCAGTGAGTACCTTCCTTCGTTCAGAGAATCGGAGAATAAGTTCCCGATTCCGTGATCGCCCCAGTGCTCGATTCGACTGTTCCAACTCGAGGAGCATCGGGCGGAGTTCTGTTTATTTCTTGAAGCCCGAATCCCGGAATGCCCACACTCAACCGAGAAACTCTGGCTGATCCGCGAGAGAGCCCCATCGGATTCCCGAATCGACGGTGCGGACGCCAAGGAAACTATCGGCGTAGCCGAGTCGGTGCTTCGAGAGCGATGGAAAGAACACTAGAGCTCGTGGCGGGCCAGATTCGTGCCGCTAGAGTCTCTCGTGGAGACAGCGCATGACTCGGAATTTTCATACACCCACAAATTCGTTGACTTTGCTCTTTCAATAATGTGTCGAACCGATCATTGAGGAGGAACAAAGTTCCGCTGAAACGAGATATGCCTGCGATTACTCGATCTCTATCGAGTGCATTCGGGCTCACAGCGGCTGTGACTTCTTGTGTTGGACATGGTGACAGATGAGAATGGAAGCCGCGGACTCTCATTTCGAACTCGATCCGAGTCGGGAGCTCAGTATCCGGAATCAGAATCGTTGATTTCAGACACGACAATGTGGAGAATCATCAAACTTCAACTCCGGATCCTCTTGTTTTCGATTTTCGGCTTCTTTACGCTGCCGTTCCTCCCGGTGAACCTCGACTTCGATCCGATCGCTTATAAGTAAGTTCGCTGAGATTTTCCCGTGCGCGTTACCGCTGGATTCCCGTCCGCATTCTTCATTTCGTTTTCTGACTTGAGGAAAATCATGGCAGAAAGATATGACTGTGAACGCTTGATAGTTGTGAGCTCTCGTGTTTTCCGCATGTAAACAACCTTCAAGCGCGATTTGGGGGCTTTTCCTCGGTGCGAAGTCCGGAAACAAGAGAGAATTACCCGGAGAGAATTCTAACCACAGAATTGCACCTGTGACTTGCAGTGTGTCCCTACCCGAGTTCAAAGGAGCCCTGGCTCCCAACAAGTTGTTGGATAGCGGAAAGATAATGTTCCAACAAATTCTCCACGGCCCGGAATCGCTCGCGGTCAAAGACGGTCTCATCTATACGGGAACCCGTTTGGGTGACGTGTACGCCATCGACCCGGTCAGAGAAACGCTCACGAAGGTTCGGGTTTTCTCGTTACTTTGACCTCTCGGACGAGCGGCGTGTCTTCCACAGAGTCTAATGTCAATCGCGTGAGAAATTCTGGCGGAACGGATTTGCCTGCGGATGTCGTTTTCAATTTGCCCCATCGCAGGTCGCCAACACCGGAAGCGAATGCGGAGGCTTCCACGATGAAGAGAAATGCGGACGAGTTCTCGGTCTCCGTTTTGCGAAAAACGGAGACTTGTACGGAATCGACGCTTTCAAGGGCCTCTTGAAAATCGACATCAAAACCGGTAAGTCTCCGCTTCCAGCCGCTCGATCCGCCTTCCTATGCACAAGTGCCACGACTCATGGGGCCAGTCTGAAAGCTCTCGAGAAAGTGCCGTAAATCGCTTATTTTGATCTAATAGAAGAATGCTTCCTCGATATTTTCTGTTTCGATGGGGAGAAATTCTGGAGAGCCGAAAACAGTGAGCGGAATTCCGTTTCAGGGAAAGTGGAAACACTCGTCAAAGCGGAATCTTACGTTGGAAGCTCTCGACTACGATTCGGCGACGACTTGGACATTGACGACGACGGCATCATTTATTATTCGCAGGGAAGCCGCCGATGGGGTCTTCATCAGATCATTTACATTGTTATGGAGTACGACACAACGGGACGGTGAGCTCATATTCCCCCAATGAGGTGATCCCTTGTGAAGAACGGCGTTGGGAAGGAGGATTCCGAAGTTTTCCCTTTATTCACATCTCGTATTCATGATTGCACCGCGAGATTAGGCCGGAGCGGACAAGGGATCATCAGAGAGGAATCTGGAGTTGGAGACAGCTTCTGATTAGTCCCTTCATGGAATTATTTCTTAGGTCTATTATTTCCTTTCATCCTGTGTAGCATCCTCACGTACGACACTAAGACCAAGAAGAGCGGAGTGTTGATTGACGGTATAGCGTTCCCGAACGGAGTTCAGCTCACTGCTGACAAGAAAGCCCTCTTGTACTCGGAGCTCAACGCGAAGAGGATCAACCGATATGAGCTTCAAGGACCATCCAAAGGTAATTATAACCGAAACGAGACGTTATTTTCGAGCAGAATCCTCTATGTCTCGGTTGGATCATTCTTCGCCTTCTCCATCGGGCATAAGCACGCCTTTCGGAGCTCCGAAGGACACGGAGGACTGACGTTTCTTGTTCTGTCTGGAATTTCCAGGAAAAGTTTCGGTGTTCGCCGATCGTCTGCCAGGAGGTCCCGACAACCTTCGCTTGAGTCCTCGCGGGACATATTGGGTCGCTTACGACACCGCTCGCTCGGCGAGTACTCCCTACGTAGCTGACCTCATCGCTCCGTATCCTCTGATCGCCAAAGCAACCATGAGGTTCTGTTGGCTCAGCGGGCAAGCTCTGAAATACGTCTACCAATATTTCGACCATCCGACGATACGAGACTTCATCGCCGACGTAAGTGATTACCGTATACTCCGAGAGGAGCACACATGGTGTAGCGTTCCCCACATTTTCCCGCACAGATCATGTAGCCACGATCGAGCCCGGAGGATTCAATGGGGTGAAAATCTTCGTTCCAGTTGGAGCACGGGAAGATATTACTCTCTTTCGCTCCGAAGCGTGGAATCATCACGGAGCTGGATCAGAATGGAAAAATTCTTCGGAGTATGCATTCCTCGCATTTGTCGATGTTTTCCGAAGTATTGGAATTCGAGAATCATTTCTACATCGGCTCGTTCATCAATCCCTACCTCCTCCGGATAGGATCGCCGAAAAATTGAGTTCGATAGACGTCGAGGAAATATCAATTCAAGATCATTGATAGTGGGTATTATCCTCTGGATCGGAATTCTGTGAACGAGGATGTTTTCCATGCTGAAAACTTGTTTTCGTCCGCGTCATCGGAGCAATCTGGCTCAATATTAAGTTATCCGAGGGGGAACTTCGAGTTTTCACGGAAAAAGACCGAGAAAAACATTCACTGTCTGGATATCGAGCTCAATAAATGATGAGCCTTGAGTCATCTGAGGAGTTCCGATTGCCGCGTATTACTGCTCATTGTTGCAGCTTTCCAATCGACATGGCTCATCAGCTCTCATGAATCATGCGAGTCTAGACAGAGTCACACAGAGGAAGTGAACCACCTCATGATCCGTCATAGAGGAGAACTTTTGTTATTCACAGTGATTTATTACAAATAACAATATTTTTCTCATGTCGTTGCATCGGTTCGTCCGTCATGGTTGAAGTCGTCGATTATACATCATTCTCGCGCTTCTGCGGCGAAGATCGCATCGAATTACCCAATCGTTAACAGTGGATGTTAAACCACCCTAGTCCTAGCATACATTTCCATCTGCAGAGAAACCAATTTCACATCTGCAGCGTGCTGGCTTCGTCCACTTTTATTGGACGAATGATTGAACGAACGGATGGTAGGTTTGATGGATGGATCGATGAATGGATGAATGAGTGTATTTATGAGTGGACCACTGACCATCAATGATGAATGAAGATATCGACCGACCTAACCACACATCAACTCCCGCATGACACAGATCGGTTGATTTGTTTGGTTTAATGGATCGATGGCGAGTGATTACGACCTTGATATTGGTTGTGTCGCGAATCGATGAATGGCCGCATCGACGGGAGTTTCTTCTAGGATACACGGCTTGTACACATTCGGACAAAGTTCCCCTTGAAGCTCGGCTCGTGATGCGAACAATAAATAAAAAAAAATCCCTTAGGTTCTGAATTTCTAGAATTCCCCGCTTGGTCCTCATCCGCATCACGAGCTACGCCTTATCTGTCCGTTGGTACGTCTCTCGCAGATTTGGTGTTTTGAAAGGTGTAATATTTCCCTGTCTATGAATGTTTTCCCTAGTACGCGATCACTCGTTCGCTTTCGCTCGTCGTCTTCTCTCTTCTTTCTCTCGATTGAGACCTCACTTTGCTGCCATGAACACCGCATCCCAGACTTTTCTCTCGAAGATATCCGCGGAGTTCCTTGTTCAATACGCAAACAAAACATCGAATACGTTGCAGCTGGAACGTTTCATCTCACGACATTTTTGGAAATCCACCGCGGAGCCCCGCCTCCTCCTCCTCCCTCTTCCTTTTTTTCCGCCGTCCCGGGAAGGATTCCATATCAGCTGATCCGGGAAGTCGAGGTCCGAGTCCTCGAGCTTCCCGCCTTAATCTCGTCCTCCGGAGAAATGATGAGGACAAATCAGACTTGAGCAGCGGCAGCAGGCAGAAGCGGAGCTCATGCGGTCTGTTTGATCATTTTCGAAACCCACGGGAACGACTGGCGGTCTACGACAGCTCACGGACTGCCGAGACTCTGCCGATCGATTCGCCATGGGTTTCTCCCCCCGTTTCCCTTTTATCCCCAATACCTAAGTCGGCATCGTTGGTCGTCAGCACGGTTGCACACTACTAGATGCTGACCGGCTGGCTTGCTTGCTTGCTATATTCACACATCACGTCCTATATCATCGGCATGGAGGTCCGACATCGAACTCCACAACATCGCCACCTTTGACCCTTTCGTCCCTCTGCTAGAAACAACTCAGTGGACCATTGACAGAGATGATACGCCGCCAATACGTCGCAAAGCCACTTCCCACAATAAACTACCGACTGCCGCCAAAGGGTTCAGCTACCTCCGCTCTGTGAAAAGATATAGGTTGTTCGTAGCGGCCACGGCGAGAACGTTGTCATGAGGATGCCAGGCCGTGTGCAGGATTTTCCGACCGAAATCGAGACAATCCACGGTGATGTCTTCCTTCTTACGCTTTCCGACACCGGTTTGCGTAGCGAACACCTTTTTGGGCCTGAGAATAGTTTTGGGCTTTGCGATTTCACGGGACGCTTCGAGTGTCACGTCACGTTTAGTGTTCCGGTCGAAGACGCGGAAGAAATTGTTGTATGAACCCGTCATGATGTAGCTGGAAAAGATCATCCAATCCGTTAGAGACCCGCTCAGAGAGGAAGGACTCTCGAATACTCATGTGAATCCGACCCAATTTTCGTGCGATTGAAGGCTCCTACTTACTCATCGTTTCCATTCCAGCAGCATTCGAACTTATCGAAGATACAATCGTTTTCATAGAGTGTGCACAGTCGGGTCCTTAAGTACTCGTGAACGTCGAAGGTCTGCACAGGTCTGTTCTCCATTTGTAGGTCCCATACCTGCAAGAGCCCATCGACATTGACGCTGACGTATCATTACAACGTAGGCATGACGATTTTTTCGAGCCAGAATTCTTGAGTCGATCTCCGTATTTCCGGGGATCTCCGGATGCTCCGAACTCACCTTGACGGTCAAATAATCTCTGGATAGGAGATACCTCCCACAGTGAGAGAATTTAACGTCACTGATCGACGAGATTATTTCAGAGAAGAAAGACCTGTTCGTGGGATCGTCGGGTTCTTCGAAAAGCTTCGCATGTTGATCGCACAGAGCTGCTTGCCTCATGTCGCATAGCCGCAACGTGCCCTTCGAAGACGAGTAAACGAAATGATGGCAGTGATGTGGATGAAACTCAGCCGCCGTAATCACTTCGGTCAACTCCTCCATATTCGCGGGCTTGATGTCAACAATGTTAAAGCTTTGATCGGTGCATTCCAAATGCCAAAGATTGATCCGAAGATCGTCGGCTGAGAGGTACGTTTCCTGCAAAACGGAACGACATTAGAGAAGGATTCGCTCTGACTCTTCCTCCTCCCCGGATCTACAACACGCACGACGCGGACCTCAATCTCGATCGGGAGAAATGTTGATGGCCGATCGAGCAAGAGTTCTTTGTGTCTCGTGGATCCCCATGATGGTTCTGACGCCACAAGTACTCATAACATAAGACGCATTCTTATGGCGACCGAAACCACATTCGGACTTGTGACCTAGTGTGAGATAGTGACCGAAAGTCGTCGGCCGTCTCGAGCTTCTCAGAACATCCAGGCATCGGCGTCGTCCAACATTTCGAACCGGTTGTAGATATCTCTAGCTTAAGGTGCTCACCTGATCGCTATTGACCGATATTGAGTTGATGTGGTAAGTATGAGCATTCGCAAAGACTCGGCGAGGCGAAGCCTCAACCATGAGCTCCATGGGTATAACCGTGGGAACTCGAATTTCACTTGAATCTGCCAACGTGGGGAGCGGGCCTTCCGGTGGAAGATTGTAGCCTTCGATTTTCTTGTCTCGTTCGCTGACTTTCCATAATTTTATTGTTTTATCTGCAAGCGAAGAAGGAACCATGAGCTCTCCCTATTCCACCCTCGATCCATTCAATCGGAGATCATCGGAGCTCACCGATCGTAGCGTTGGGGCGAAGACTCACCATTAGTGGACAGGAGGAAATGTGCTTGGTTTTTCCGACGGAGCCAACGGATCTTATTGATTCGCTCCTCGATCTCTAACGACTTTAAGTAATCAAATTCTGGCTCATGGCTCTGTAAAAAAAAAGATGCACGTTGGTGAGCTCTTCGGAACGATAACCCGCACGGTTTTCCTCCCCAGATTCTTGGCAGGGTCGCGGGACAGTTTCTCTCCATTCAGGTACGCACTGTCTTTCGTGTCAAGTGTGCTCCGCTTAGCGCATCAATGAGGATTCCTACGACCTACGTTAAGTAAACATCCCATTGAGAATCTAGGGTGACTTTCACGTTCACCCAAGGGCGTCCGCAGGATTTCTCTAAGGGGGGGAGCTAGATCGGGTCCGCGCACGGGGCTGGTTTCCGACATGGCGACTCGCTCCTATACCTTAGTATTGAGAACTGTCAATCTGGGAGGGGGCTATAGCCCCCTTAGCCCCCCCCCCCTGCGGACGCGCCTGCGTTCACCGAAATAAACGCATAGAGTCATTGGATTCCATTCGATCATCTTGCCTACAGGCTCGGCTCGGGAGCTGTGTCGCAATCGATTATGATTAGAGCTCTGAAGTTCCGACATCTCGTCATAAATTCTATAGGTGCCTTCCCGCTGCTTCTCGATCGGAGAAGCTTATTTGTTTTTTTTTTCACGTCTAAGGTGTTTTCTTGAGCCATCAAGACGCTGATTTCCGTGTTTTCTAGGGGAAATCGAGGCTTTATGAACGGATTCGCCGATGAATAGAGTCGGCGAACCCATGCTTCAGGAGCACATTTTGCTCCCGATATAACCCGATGGTCGGCCGAGAGGTCAACTTTTTTTCCCTGGTTATGCAAGATGCCCCCATAAGACCGGCGTCCGTTCCGACAAACTGGTGGGACTCGAAAATACCACGCGAATTTCCCGTGGAACGGCACCGAGCAACACCTCGATGCGGCGTTCGCTTTGACTATCATGCCCATTGTGCCCAGTTTTGGTGACTTTTCTAAGGTTTCTCAGTGCCTTTTTGTCTGCCATGTTCGGCATTCTTTAGTCACTCCCGAGCTCTAATCATGATGCATGAATTCGGGAATTGATCTGTGCGAGCAGGATGCTCGGACGACTCGTGAAGAAACAGAGCAATCGAAAATTCAACTCACCTGGAATGTAGAGTAAACAGTATATTCTCCTGCAGATCCGCTTCCGACGCTCCGTTTCGAGGGAGGGTCGCAATGGAATATTACAACTCGACCCCCTTTGTCTCCCGTGGCTAATAGTTCTCCATCGTGGTTGAACTCCACACAGCTGATTATGTCAGCTGAAACAAAAGAGGAACCCGGTTTTAGTTCCAGAACATCGGGACCACCACAGCGAGGGATGAATTTTTCGTCCATAGATTCTCTCCCATCCTTGCGGAATTCCCTCGAGATTATCATCTAAACAATGACAATCGGGGTGAACAGAGCGGGGGCCCATATCTTGGATGTGACGGAAATGGCTGCCTCCCCATGTGGATGTTACTCGACCCTCCCCGCCGATATGGCCCCTCTCAACCATTCGGGGAAAGGTCACGCGAAACTCCTGAACCTCAAGCAGTCGCACAACCCCCAAGATAACGGGGAAAAATCTGGGTGACGAAAGGCAGCCCGGATGTTCTTTTTTCGTGGTGTTGTAAACATTTGTTGTCGTCCTCGCAATCGGATCGCTTTTGTTCGCTTCTCTGGTCGGTGGAACCGATCGGAGCGAGGCTGGAGTCGGAAGACTCTGCCACCGCTCGTCATGGTTGGATGGATGTCCTCGGAAATTCGATCTCGAGCCTGCCATATCTTGGGGATAAGCGATGGGCTGAACATCTGAATGCATTCGACGAATCGAATTCATTCGCGCATCTGCTGGCGCTCGATCGACGCAAAGCCCATGACCGACACGGCACGCTACTCGGGAATAGTAACGGATTCCACTCCTCTCTCCGAGGGTTCGCGAGTCCGAATCGGTGAACAAAACGAGGGAGCTAACACCCTCAAGTCTAAATTTAGTGTCCGTGCCTGGTCGCTCGCGAAAGGTGCCCGACCGCCAAGAAGCCAGGGAACGGCCGGACTTTCGACGTTCCTCGACACCCCGACGCAGTCAGCGTTCGGAGTCAGCTTCCAGCCAGTGGTCGTATGAGGTCAACATCAGTTTTTTTCCAGCCCTCAAATCGAGAAAAAAGCATCTCAGACGCAACCGGTCAGAGTCCGCGCAAGACTTTCGCAATCGGGGATGCGGATCGAAATCGGGAAAAAAGTAAACCTTTCCGGGAACCACCTATGGCTGCGAACCGCCGCGGATCCGAGGTATGCAAACCACCGTGAGAAGGCGTCTCTCGAGCATATATAGACATGGCTCTCCATGCGAGCGTAGCCCATTCGATGGGATCCGTCGCGGTACGCCTGTTGTAAAGTGAACGCAGGAGAAAAGAACTGTGGATTACAGGGACTCGTAAATTCGGACCGGGAACCCTTCGAGCGACCGATCGTGTTTGGCTCGGGAGAGAAACCTCGGCGTTGAGGATCTGTCCAGAGCGCCGGTCGCAACCTTCCCCTCAGGAAAATCCTTCGTAATTCTGCGGAGTTCGCAGTATCATTTCTCCTGCTGTCCTGTGCAAGTCGATATCGGATCGAAATCCAGAGCAAGGACTTCGAGGGGGAGCACGCGAGGTGTATTATTTCTTCCTTCTTTGGATTACCAATTTTGCAAACTCACCATCTGTGACTTCATCATCGAGGGTTCCCTTGACCTGAGAGAACTGCCATTGAATTTCACCTCCAGTCGAACCTGTAATTTATCGACCTTAGTTAGTAGGGGTCCTTCGAGAGGAATTCAATCTACTTCTGTCTGAGGGAACCGCCTCAAGATTGGGATATCTCTTTTCGAAGACAGAATCCGTCTGTCCCTCGTTGATAACCACCGGATGTAGTTAGAGATTCCTCTCGACTTTTTAAAACCCATCCACTCGACCGATATCAATACGATGTTATTCTCATTCTCATCGCCAGCGTCGAGAGGACCAAGGGCTGACTACGGGCCGAACACAGGCTTCATTGAGCCAAAAGTGTACGGAAAATTGAAGGCTCGGTCCCACGGCAGTCGAAATGGTCAGGCGGCAAGTCACAGTAAGATCAGGGAGACAAGGGACTCGCGAGTCGCGGATCAGGGAATTCCATGTGACTATCCAAAGAGGAATGGGGCGGAAAAGTCTTGTCAGGATCACAGAAAGCTTTCGGAGATCTCGAGCAGAACTATGATTTTTGGCGCCTTTGCGCATTCGGGTCTCTACATCCTCTGTAGGCGATATACCTACACACGCACAGCTCCCGTAGGATTTCTGAGCTCGGAAAACGATCGGAGGGAGAAGAAACGCCACCAGAGGTGTGCGCTAGCTCTCTTTTTTACGGCAGAATAGAAAGTCGTGTAGGGACGGAGAAATCCGCGTGAATCACGGGGCCATCCGAGTAGGTTTCGGCCAAGGGGCTCGGAGGCAGGCCCGGAAAACGAGTTGTTCCGCATTTTATGGACCTGCCCGCCTTCCTCGACTGATCCGAGGGAAGTGAAGCGAGCTCGAAGAACACGAGATTCTTCTGACGTCTTGTTTGAGGTCTCCAAATAGACTCATTGCCAGACAACACTCACAAGCGAAGTTCCGAAACAACAGCATCGCGAGGATGTTTCACCCGTCAGGGAAAACTCAAGTACACCGGGAGCTTTTCGTTCGCATGGAACGCGCGGGGAGATTCCTGGAGCTGTGCGAGTGAACCATCGAGTCCTCCGCCAGTCACCGAATCCGCGAGCCTTGATACGAATACGATGTCAAGTGGGAATTCCATTCAAACTCGTAGTTCGAGCGATCAACGGACGGGACGAGGCAGTCAGTGGTCAGAGACAAACATTCCATAATCGTAAACTCGTGTAGTCTCATTGATGGGTCCAGGGATTGACTATCGAGACGACTGAGCGAGAGATTTGTGAAGCGTAGTTTTGGAGAAACAGACTCAGACGGTGGTGCTAATCAGAGAGGTAATTGTTGTGTGCTCTGTCGGTGGTAGAATTCACTGAGAAACAAAAGAATTGACGAGTCGTGGAACTAAGGTGGCGTACAGTTGGATGAACCGCCGTCGAGGGGATCTGTTGGGCTTTCGTCCGATAGCGAGCTGCTGCTTTTGGGCCGTTTCGAAACGGCCACCAAGCCAGCGCCGGAGCGGCTCTCTGTTCTTGACGTACCTGCCATCGATGCAAGCGACAGCAGGACACGCGACACTTGGCGCCGATATCACACTTCACTCAATTCTTGCACTCCCGATTTCATCGGATTCAAGTTTTGTTGTGTTGCTCTTCTTTTAACAGCGGTTTCAGCAGCAGCCGAGAGCAGCGATAGCAGCAGCACCACACACACACAGCCGCCTGCTTTGCTCCTGAACAAAATGGCCGCTCTCTCGTCTGTCTGTCTGCTGCTGCTGTGATGCCCGAGCGGAGGCAGCGGCGGTGGTAGCGGCCGCGGTGGCGGCGTCGGCTAGCCCGACCGCCGCTGCGACCGAACCAATACAAAACCGAAGGTCATGTGACCTCAGAAGCCGCTGAATTTCAAATATGACCAGTACGCTCTCGTGATGCTTCGGGAGTGGAATCGTCATTCATGCCGTTATCGGTCGGAGAATATCTTGACTGCGCATCATACCAAGACTAGGCCGGATAATGGTCCAGACCACGGCCTGGGGCTCTCCGGACTCGGCGTCAGGTTCGACTTGGCGTCTTATTGAGGGTGTATTGTTTTCAAGGCTCTGCAGCGGCTGCATGGGTGCTCAAGACGACACCCTGAAAGAGGAAGCGTCGAAGTTGTCCGAAAACGATTGGGTCGCCGGGGCGGCAGTGTCTTCGGCCGAACAAGCAGCGTCTGCTGAGCATCCCCGTCGGGATCTCGATAGAGAAATTATTCGCTGTTCTGCATCTGTATGTTCCGTCGCTCCCCCGGAAAGATATACTGATGGTACATGGAGTCTGAGTAGGACCGACGAGACTGTGTTTCATCGATCATCTCCGCGATAATTTCGGAATGTCGACGCGCATTCGTCTTGAGCGCAATTAAGCTGAGCGCAAACAGTCTCTGAGCGTGAAGAGTATTTGAGCGCAGTCAACATGGCGCACCCTACTCTTGAGCGCACTCGATCGAAGCGCTCATATTCGTGTTCGCAAATATCCTTCGAGCGCTGTCGGATGGTACTGATGGACAAATCCGATGTGCTTGCGGAAAATTCGAATTTTGTGAGATGAGATATCTTAGAGTGCGTAGAACTATCCGACATCGGTCCACGGAGAGCATCGAGGAGACGAGCGACATCCAGCCCCGATTAGATTCTCTTGAGGCGGCAGTCATCACCTCAGATACAATCAATGCGACCGAGTGTGTCATTTAACCTTCAAACCGCGAATCACGATCTCGAGGATAGCTGACGACAAGTCATCCCTTTTGGGCTCTGATACAATCGGCTGGTCTTATGGTGATACATTTTTGGGGGAGTCTCTGTCAGTCGGACAAAACTCTAGGGCCGTCCAGCGTATCCGGATCCGAGTGGATTTCTCGGACCAAATCATCAGCGAATAGATGAAAATGTACTCGGCGTCAATTTCCCTCCGAAGTTGTCAGCGATAAGTTGAAAATAATCAGGCAGCAAACTCACTCTGGCGTTGAGATCCATCGAGGAATTGTTTCTTCTTCTTTTCGACTGGTAGAATACTTTTCAGCGAGGCCGATTGACTCCGCGCACCTGCACCGAGAAAGGGCATCGTAGCCCTGACAATCGTTTGGAATTTCGCTTTCATCTGCAAGCAAAGGCATCGATGGCTAGCGGCAGGATTGACTCAAATGAGTCTCGCTCCGGACACTTATCAAGTACCTATCAAGAGAGAGTCTCCATCCATGTGTCTGGGTCGGATAAATTTGGACAAGCATGAATCTCAAAATTCGCATAGACCAGGAGTTCAAATATCCTGACAAGCCCGGGAGGGGGTCGGCGTTCTCCCGGAAGATGTTCCTATTGATTGGAGGGCTCCGTATTCTCGAAGATCCTCTCCGAAACTGGGGAGCAAGATTCTTCCCCCACGAATCGCCGGCTCGGTTTGCCGACCCGTTCGATAGGAAGCATTTCAGCGTACGATCTATCCAGCGATCTTTCGAGTAAAAAGCCCACACTTCGGAGCTAGAGACATTCGCTCGCTCAGAGCAAGATCCAGAAGCTTGAACAAGTCGAGAAAGATGAGTTCGATGGGGAGTCCAAGAATATGTTCTGAGACCGATTGGAATATGCTATGGGGAAGTTCCACGGGTCTTGCCGATGACAAGCTTCCTCATTGGATTATTCCGTAGTTGAGATGGGAGATGTGTCATGCTTAATAATGACAATGCTTGAATCTCTCGCCGCTGCGGTTTCTCAGAGAAACGCAGAGATCTGTCCCGCTGATGGAAGAGCTAGCTTCCCGATTTCCCCGATCATACGGTTACCGCGATGCTTCTGTAAGGTGCCTTGGGATGGCTTTCTGTGCGGGTTCTGGCCATTGACGTCTCCATTTCACGCGTCGCTCTTAATGTCGAACGACCCGGAGCGACTTTGTTCCCCATCATACCCGAGGTATCGATCAAAACCGGCATGAAAACGCGAGACGCGAGTTAGTCGTCGAGTGAGGGATCGACCAGCCCGCGGGGAACTGCGGCTCACCTTGGGATAATTCTCTTGGTGCCGTTTTCATGACATATCATTGACGACAAGCCTCAAACATCATTCCGAAAATTTCGAGCAGAGCCAGAAGGAACTTCTGAAAAGGGCGAATCCCTCTGGAAGCGGGAATTGCTCCCGGATAACGGCCAGTACTCTCTAACTTGACTATGGAGTCTTAGACAGCCTCCAGAACCCGCATGACCGATCCTGACACTCTTTTCAAGAGAGCTGAACGAGACTCATAATGACTTGAGAGCGGGAGCATATCATGCTTACAATGCGGATAGCGTGTCAGGAAAGCGGATTACCTTGGGCATCGTTGGGAGCAGTGTGCTATCTTTGGCCGAACTTTTCAATGCAGAGATCATAGACGTGAATACGCGCGGCTGCGAAGTCACCAGACTGACATCCATCGCTCTGGTCTGTCGACCTCAGACCTGTAATTGATTGAAGTTAGAAACAAACCACCACAGACGTCGTTGATCAGGAACTATTTTTCACAGTCGTATCGGACTCTAATTGAGTCATTCTGCAGAGGCAGCTATCTAATTCGATGACATAATTGACCAAATGCACCATTCCGATTCAGATCACAGCCATTATAGTCTAGCCAAGAGAGCTGGGAAAATACGTCGATAATAATACATCTTGAGGATCTCATGCCCGAGTAGAAGATCTGCTTCATGAAGTCAGAGAACAGTCTCTCAAGCGTCGATCAGTTCCGTTCTGCCAAAGATTCGTACATGGCTTCGCTCGTTCCTCGGCCTGGCGACAGCAAGAGGCGTTCAACAGATTCACCGATTTCGAAGCTATCCCGAGCGCAGGAGAATTCATCACGAGACCGATTGATGATATCTCCTGGGACCGGAGCGAGGTGCGAGCGGACATTTTTTGAGCTTGCGGAAATGTGTCGCCCGCCTTAATTGCGATTAAATGACGTTCTCAGCCTATAAGGCAAGTGCAGCATGAGTCTGAGGGTCCGCGTGAATTTCGACTCGCATCAGCAGCATGCGAGTCGAGCACTCAGCACCGCGGCCGCGTCCACAACCGGTCGCTTGCAGTGAAGCCAGAGCTATGATGGGCACTTCCGTCGTGGGCCGAGCGTGTCATTCGAAAATGCTTTCGAACCATTGAACGAACCATATCCGTTCCGGCGTCGACAATCCATGAGACCCTCGGAGCGATCAAGGTTAATTTGTTATCAGTGCCGTAAGCATACACTTCTCCGACCTGTAGCATGGGGCTTTTTTGTTCCTGATTGTTATATTTTCGCCACTCCATCGATAGTGCGTTGCTTCATCAATCATCCAGCGGCAGAAAATTAGCCCTGTATGACAGAGATCCCAGCGGGATCCCAGTTAATCCCAAGCGACCGATCTCTGATGGTCAAGTGTAACAGCGACGCACGAGCTCAGTCACTTAACCACACTGTAGGGTTGCTACACAATAGCCTCACGAGGAAAGCTCTGATTCGAGGTGGTTAGCCGTGACCGACTCCTCTCATCACTCGATCGACGAACGGTCGGGACATCCTCGTCTGGAGGGATTTCCTCGGGGCGTTCGCCAACAGGTGAGACACGGACTGCACTCTTCTCGATGGCGGAAGTCACCAGGATGAGCCATTGAGGGGGGAAGTAGTTCTCCTCTGAAATTCTAGATGTCAGCGGCATATTTTCGCTCAGATACGCGTCTTGAGGAGGCAGGAATTGGCTCCGAATGCCATCCCCCGTTCGCAACTGATAGCAAGCGCAGTGCCGTCTGACGAGGCAAGCATTCCAAGCCCGGAGTCGCTGACAGACGGCAGGTTCGCGCTCATTCGCAAATCGCTTTCGAAACTACCAGTTGCAACGACAGCAGGAGCTCCGGCTGCAGCGAAATTTGCAGTGAGTGCGGAGTCCCATCGATACGGTTGTTGGAGTTGAGAGCAAAGCGGTGGAATCCAGCTTTCGAAAGAATGCACGGATATAATCTCGCGACGTGCAAACGTTTCTCGATCGGCTGGAACGACATGCTCACCAACTTCGCAAGGGCATTGTCCCGCTCGAAAGCCTCCCGGCCAGATGTACCGACGGCAGAGGCTATTCGCGGAAGTTCTGGAGACCTTCCGAGCTCAGGACATCTTGCATTCGAAGAAATCGACTTGATGGTTCGAATATGACGAGTTCTGTTGCGGGACGATGAGAGGTGCTCTTCAATAATCCCGCTCATTAGTCATCACGAGCAACTGGGAACTTCGTGCATCATCGAGGACTCAAGATGTTGCAAAATATCGACTCCTCAACGAGAGCTCCGCAAATGGGTCCATATCCCCCCCTCCCTCACCGTTCAAAGAACACTCCGTGGAACCCGGGGCTCAAGCCTCGAAAATTAGGGGGAAATTAGGAGGGAGGAATGTGCATTGTCTCTCCTTACGGAGGAAGAAAATTGGGCGGGCACCGGGCAGAGGGGGCTTACCCCTCGGGGGCAGTAGGCTCGCTCTCTTCGTACTTCCCCACGGCTGTGAACGGATATGGCACCCTTTCCGTTCCATGCGTGATAATTCTGTCATGTTCACAGACCCAAGAATAGTCGTTGATATAAGGCTCCGATCGGGCCGAGCGGACACA